GGAGGAGGAGGAAAATTTTTCTTTATTTCATACAAGAATTTCAGAAAATACAAAACGCAATGAAAATTGCGGATTTGAGGAAACGACATAACTTAGCAAAGAAGAAACACTAAAACAGACAAAAATTTATTAAGACAGAAATTTGAGAAGAGAACATATTAATTTACCAAAAGATAAAATCTGAAACATACAAAATTTTATTAACCTATAAAATTGTACGAGAAGAAGTGAAACAAACCTATCGAAAAACAGAAAACACAATGACAATTACGAAATTAAGATCAGTCAACAATAAAACAATTTATTCAAAATGAATTCCTGAAACAGAGAAAAATAATTAGTACATAAAATTTGGGGAAATTAAAATCGCGAAGGGGTGTACAAATCTCGATGCTCGAAATAAAATCGCGAAGGGATATAAAAATCTCTAATCTCAAAATTTAATCGCGAGGTTATATAAAAATCTCTAATTTTTTACTGTAATCGCGAAGGGATACAAAAAACTCTAATTTCGGTATGTAATCGCGAAGGGACACAAAAATCTCTAATCTCGAAATTTAATTTGGCGGGCATAAAAATCTCGAACCGCAAAAGGATACAGAAATCTTTAATCTCGAAACGTAATCGCGAAGGGACATAAAAATCTCTAATCGTGAAATTTAATTGGGCGGGCATAAAAATCTCGAATCGCGAAGGGACACAAAAATCTCTAATTTCAAAATTTAATCGCGAAGTTATGCAAAAATCTTTATTTAATTGGGAGGGCATAAAAATCGCGAGTGGCTTTGCTCGTAAAAATTCGAGCAAAACGATACATTTTGTATTGTTCAAAAAGCACATGTAAAATACAAGAAAATAATAGCGAGCATAGTGACAAAATGACTCTCCATCCTAAGATGGACAGCCATTGATAGTTCCCCTCTTCTTTGGCAATTTTGCCGGGGCTCTTCGGCATATAGCCTCTTCTCTCTTCGGCAAAGCCTCACAAAAATCACTCGCGAAATTTTACGGTAACTCGGACATTCTTAGTTTTCACACTTACATAAATTTTCAATTTTGCTATCAATCTCCATAAAAAGATAGCAGACAATTTTATAGAAATAAAATTGCAATACTATCCATTTATTTCGATCGATAACAAAATCGAAATTTTATATAAGTTAGTTTGGTAAGAAAGAAAAATGACTCAAAATAAAAAGATATACGACCAGCGATTCTCAGAATGCGCTGTCCGTAAAAGAATGTCCGAGCAGAATATTTTTTTTCACTGCACTTCACTTCACAGTGTACTTCATTTTTGCAGTCGGATCTAGAACCCGACTGCGACTTACAAACTAAAAGGCCTGGCCTGAACGAACAATCGAGTTCAAGAGATATTAAATATAAGTAAAGTCACTGACACTTGTAGAACCACACCATAAAATTTGTTAATGCACCCCCATAATTAATAAAAAATAATTATTAAAGCATATTAAACACTAGTAATAACACACTAGGTACACTAATATATCCGTATATGCATGCAGGTAACACACTGATTAAGTCACTGACACTTGTTGAATCACACCATAAAATTTATTAATATACCCGCATATTTATTAAAAAATATTTATTAAAACACACTAAGCACTTATTAAAGTACAGTAGGTAATACAGGGACAAGCACAATATCGGTAAAGTAAATCATTGACTCGTACCGGTAAGTGTTGACAGGGCCGATCCGACCTCCTCGACTTCCAAAACAAAACTGAGCACA